CCCCACAAAAACTATAATACACTGTCCCGTGCTCCCAGGCCCAGTCACAGTGCAGTCTCCCCACGTTCCACAAAAGTCAAGACACACAAACGAGCAATCCCTGTGGTCATGATCACTTCCACAAGGAGGCAGTCCAGAACTTATAGCGAACTGCCTGTCTTTCAGGCTGTCAGTTCCGCAGTTTCCCTGTCTTGGGCCTCTTGTAGCCACTGTTCCACCGGATCCCTGCTCAGAAATCTGACCAATCTCTGTTCCAGAAATGACCCTCTTATGCTAGTACCATCGAGATCCTCAAGTTCAAATGTGTTCAGTCCCACCCGCTTAGCGATCCTGTAAGGCCCTTTGAATCTTTTCCCCAGTTGCCCGGACCATGTGCTTTCAAGAGCCGAGTTCTTAACTAGCACCTTTTCCCCCACCTGGAGTGGCTCCTTCCGAATGTTCTTAACCTGGTCCCATCTTGCTTTATCCCTCATTCGGTTGTCTGTCACACGATTGACTACTTCCTCAAGTGCCTCCTCATTTCTGGCAACCTGCTGGCAACGTGCGGTGATTAACTCTTCTGTGCTCAAGTGTGGATCGTCATCTAGCCTGTTCCAGGTAGGGACCAAAGCTTCCATCGGAAAATCGATCTCCCTTCCATACCAGAGTTCTGCTGGAATACATCCCGTTGTTCTTTTTGGAGTCATGTTTTCGGCGAAAACTGCCTGCTTGAGAAACCGTGGCCAACTTCCCAAATTATTTGCTGCCAACTTTGCGATTGTGTTCTTCAAAGTCCGGTGACCCCTTTCTACTGGTGCATTTGCCTCAGGATGGTAGGGCTCAGTGATCTTGATCGGTACACACAATGTCTTAAGCCTGTTCAACACTTCCTGGTTAATGAATTATGTCTCATTGTCTGCTATAAACCTGCGCACGAAGGGGTGCCTTAGGTAGAAATCTTCCACCCAGTCGGCCACTGCTTTCCCCGTCTTCTTCTTGAGGGTTGTGGCTTCTATATAGCCACTGAGATTATCCCTTGCATCCAAGATGTATCTAAACCCATCCGTTGATACGAGCATAATGACAAGGTCGAGGTGAACAAGGTGTCCGGGTCCCAGTACCCGGGTGGGTCTAAGGGGTTCGTAAACCCGTACGAAGCTCCTTTCTTGACATATCAAGCACGCCTGACAGTACGTTGCGACCATGCCTGTCATTCCTGGCCAGAAATACAGGGGCACAATCTTTGCAAGTGTCCCCTTTGACGACCGGTGACCCCCAGCTAGCCCATCATGCATTGCCTGAATTATGTCCAGCTGCCTAGACCTCCCACAAACGACGTGTCTAGGCATCATCCCTTCCTCTCTCTTGAATAGGTGGCTATTTCTTAGGACGTACTTTTCTACTTCCTCCCTTGCCTTGGGACTGACTTCCGTGGGTTGTTTGTTCCCTACAAGCAGCAAACCGATTTCTTTGAAAACGCCCTCATACATTTGTATGAGGAAGAATTCATGTTCGTTGTGATCCGCACCCTGCTCCTCCCGAGTGAGGTTGACTAGATACTGACAGTCCTTCTGCGCCCAGGTTTCGGCCAATGTCATCATGGCATCCCGTCCCCCTTCCACGGTCATTGCCATCAGTTCCTCTCTGGCCCCTATTTCTGCTCCCCACGAGTCCTTTTCCTCTTTGCGCCTGACCGTGGTGACTGGTCCTTCCCTGAGTTCTGCAACTACTGGAGGCGCGCCTTTTTCCAAGGTCTGAATCAGCAACTGACTTGTTGTAATTGCTGGATCTGCCATCTCATTATCCACCACAAGGGTCCCTCCTTCATACTCTAGGAAAGCATCGATTGGTTCCGCGTCCTCTACTCCTTCGGGCGTGATGCATACCCTGCTCAACCCATCTGCCCTATTTCGAAGCCCCGCAATCCGCTCGACCTTATAGTCGAATTGCCATATGAAGCCTATCCACCTGCCAACGGTCGGGTCTATGGGCTTGTAGTCCTTTAGGGCTCCGACAACGTTGGTGGGATCAATCCTTAGGATAAATCGCCTTCCGAACAGGTAGCCTGAAAGGTCTTAAGACAATGCAGAATCGCTAAGACCTCCTTCTTGAACTGTGAGTACCGTCGTTCTGCCGAATTCAGGGTCCTACTTTCAAATCTGATTGGCCTCTCCCTGCCCTCCTCGCTTGTCTGGATCAATACTCCTCCAACTGCCAACGGTCCCCTATCTGTTTCTAAGATGAAAGGCCGTCCTACCTCGTTGTTGAAACAGGGTGCTGCTAGAGTGACATGATCGGATGACAGGATGCCTTTCGGGGTCTGGGCTGTTGCTTCCCTATCCTCGGTCTAATCCATAGTGCCGCCTTCCCTAATCATTGCGCGGATAGGCTCTGCTATCTTTGCGAATCCTTTAATGAAGATCCTCCAGAACCCGACCACCCCTAGGAAGGTTCGTACTTCCGTCGTGGTGCGTAGGGGTGTCGGCCACTGGGAGATCTTATCCGTCTTTGCTGGGTCGGGTCTCCTCCCATACACTCCGCAATGAAATCCCAGTATGGTAACTTCCGGAACGGCCAGGATGCTCTTGGGTCCGCTTGCAGTAATATTATAAATGAGGAATCGTTGGAGTAGGTCCCTAATATCCTGCAGGTCGTCCCAGACAAACGTTCGTACGCCCGGTTCGACCTCAGTCTCGTCCTTGTACCTTGCGCCTTTTACGGGATTATCATCTATATACGGTTCACACTTTTTCTGGAAACATATCCCCTGCGACGACGAGCATCCTTCTGTGCACCTCTGCTACCGCATTTGTAAAACCCATAGGGGTCACTTGCATCTGCAGTTGCCCTACGGGGGTGTGCATTGCGGTGTACGGTCTATCCCCCGCATCAAGCGGCAACTGATCATATCCTGAGTACAAGTCTACCAGGGAGTAAATACTCCGCCCCACATGAGATTCTGCCAACAAGTCGGTCTGTGGCAGCGAGCCTGCGTCCCTAATTGTTACCGCGTTGAGCTTCTGCAGGTCTTGGATCCACCTGAGCGTCTTATTGGGCTTCCTGAACACGAACCACTTGTTCGCGTAGGGGGATGCGGTGGGTTCAACCACGAAAGAATCTATCTTAGCTCTAAGTAGGTCGGTGACTTCCGCTGCTATCCCAAACTCATAGGCGGACCCTTTGTCATTCCAACACTCGTGCTGTACGGTGTGGATCCTGACAGGGGGAACTAGCTTTGCATCCAATCGCCCTTTTTTATGATCGTTGAAAGAGAAAGCTAAATGAAACTCCTGGCACGCCTTTCTTATCATCTGAGTTTCTTCCGCCGTTAGAAACCCTTCCACTCCTACTTTCATGGTATCTGCTACCTCGTCTGGTATGCGATGCCCTTCCGTTGCGCGTCTCTCCCTTATAACCCGTAGGATCTCCTCCTCCTTCTCCATGACCTCTTCCTTTGACGTTTCTACAAGGATCGAGACCGGCTTGGCCTTCTTGCCTATCGGTTTATACTTTCGCACACTACCTTTGGGGATCGTTCTCCTAAAAAATGAACGGTCGGGATCGGCCTTGCTACCTCCAAGACGCGGGGCTGGATGCTGACTAGCTTCCCATTCAGACAGTAGCCCTTYCGAACCCCATCCTCAAATCTGGCAAGCGCTGCGAGGTCCACCCCCACTTTGTGGTACCTGATGGCCTTAACAAGTTGTAATAAATCTGGGATTTCAAGTACTACCTCCGACGTTTCGTTCCGGCCTTCCTTTGGTTTGGGCAGGTTGGCCCCGAGTTCGACTTCCAACTTTTTTTCTGCCACCATAACTTCCAGGGACTTTTCGTCTGGCCTCTTCTTCTTTACAGGCAAGTCCATCTTGATCCATTCCTTTTTACTAAAAGTTTCCTCAATCATAATTTCTACCCTTTCCCTCATACCTTCCATTCGTGCGAATGCCCCTTTCCGTGCACTTTCTTCGAATGTTGACGACCAGGTTGCCAATTTGCCCTTCGAAGGGTCCCCTCCAGTTCCGAGGAGTTGGAGGAGTTCCCCGCGACCAGTCACCTGATCCTCTATGTCTACCATGTACGTGTCGTCATGCAAGTGCATGCCAATTATTTCTACATTGGCGCGCCATGGCCTCCCAAGGATTATGTCATGGTCCATTTCTTCCATGACGGTCATCCGTTGGAAAGACCAGATGGATTCCTGGACTCCTGCCCTGACCGCGCATTTGGTGACGTACCCAGTGAAGGGGATTTTTCCACCGGCTCCCCTGATACTCCCTGCTACTTCCTTGTTTATTGTGCACCCAGTGATTGTTGCGAAATCCCATCGTATGAGGGTAATTTCCGCGCCGCCGTCCACTAGTGCATCGGTGTGGTGAGTTCCGATCTGGATTTTAAGCTTTCCTACGGGCAGTGCGTGAAAGCTAAGTTTTGTGTCAGGCGGTGCTCTCATGACTTCACCACCTTCTCGGTCCGGCAAGTTCAGACGAATGTCAGCAAAAACTTTTTCCAAATCTTTTTTGGCCCCATGGGATGCTTTGGAGGTTGGAGACTCCTTGCGGCGCCTCGGCCTCTTCCGTGTCCTGCTCTTGCAGTTTCGGGGCCTCCTCTACCTCTACGCGCTTACGCGTTAGCAACTGCCTAAGTCCTTTAAGCAGCCTCGGGCTGGCTTGCAGCATGGTCTGAAAAGACACCGATACCATGGTACCCGGTAGCTTACTCAAAGTGCCATCGATTTCTGGTGAAGTCAGGATCGGAATTTGATACCTGGACTTTTTCTTTGCCGCTGTAGCCTTGTCTACCGGTTCGTCCTCCCTTGGCCTCCCATAGACCTTTTCTTGTTCCCCGGCTTCGGTCTCTTGCTGGCCCGTGCTAGTCCCTGCGGGTTCTTCCATTACTGTATCTTGAATAAGTTTCTTTTCTACGCCAGCCCGGCGAGTGGTAATATTTACCATATCCTGGCCATTGCCTTCTAGGATAAAATTGGCCTGTGGTCCCCGTCCCCTTGGCTGGTCCCAGACAATCTCGGCTATCGGCTCTGCTTCTACGGCAGCTATCTCTAAGTTATTCAGGAGGATGACGGCTCGCCGCATCCCTCCTTGTGAGTTCCAATTGACACGCTAGCCCCTAAGTCCGAGGATCTTGCCTTTGAGGGACCTACTGCACCTCTTCCGCTCGATATCGTGATTGAGTCTCAGACAGGCCCGTACGAAATGCCCGATCATGGTGCAATACTTGCATTGTTCGTTGGTCGGGTCCCTCCTGCCAAACCCCCCGTTTGCTACAACTGTCGGAACCACGGCCTCTTGGGGCGGGAGGGCGGGTCTGGACACTTGCACCTGCATTACTAACAACGCATTTTCCATTCCGTCTATCTTGCTATCAACCCCGTGCACCCGTTCCTGCAGGCTCTCTATCCCCTTCTTGACCTTATCCCCTGTCTTCCCGGTCAGATCTATGACCTCCCCTTCCTTAAGTAGGGCTAGCGTCTCGGTAACCACTGTCTTTTCCACCAGGTCTGTTACGGTGCTGAAATCCACATCTCTCGTGTATTCGAACTTACTGGTCTGCTGGTATGCTGACAAAATCTTATCCTTATCAAACTCGGAGAATTGCCTGAGGAAGTATTTACTCATTATGGGGTCCGTTACCCCGAGAATTCGCAAAGCCACTAACGTGAACGCCCTCAGGAAATCGTTGTAGGTCGCATAGTTTTTCCTCTGGACTGCGGCTAATTTTGCCTCTGTTGCCATTTTTTCTGTCTTCAGGTATTTCCTCATTATCTCATTCCTGGTCTCTTTCCAGGATCCACTAGAGGCAACGATGGCCATAATGTCCCTTTCCAAACTTAACGATACGTGTTGTCCTAGGTGCTCCATCTTTTCCTCTTCCGTCAATTTCAGTAAGGCTGCTAGGTTCTCATAGTCTATTAGAAACTCCGTAATGTTGGCCCCATCGAACGTGAGTTTCTTTTTTGCATCTGCGAGATACCCCTGGTTCTTGTTCAGTGTCCTGTTGAGGGTGGCGACTACTTTCTTGAGACCATCTTCGGAGCCACCCGCTTCCCCGGCTGCACTGGCTCCTTCCCCTTCCTTGCTTTCCCTCTGCTTCTCCCTGGTTTTCGGTGTTCCTTCTGGGTCGAACCATCCTAGCACTCTCTCCCTAAGGCTCCAGAGTCCGTCACACGCCCCTGTTACTTTCGGCGTGGCGGGTAGTCTGCTAGTGCCGCTGTCAATGGCGGGTGGGGCCATAGCATTTTCCGTTCCTGCCGCCTGGGGGTCGCTCTTGTCCTTCCCCTTCTTGCTAGGCGTTCCTTTGTGACTATCATCCTTCCCCTCATACCTAGCCTCGTCCTGACCGGCCCTGCGTCCCTCACGTGACCCTGCGTCCTGGAGCTCCTCCTCATCCCCGGTCATCATCTGCTCGATAAGTCTTGCCTTAAATTCCGCGGTCCGCTTCTCTATCTCTGCCAGTTTATGACTGGTATCCAAGACTTTCATCTTTTTAGGGGTGGCTCGTGCTGAGTTTCGAGTACATGTTCTCATGTCGTTTCCCCCTTCCCTGTTTTCCTGAGGTCCCCTTTTGCTACCCCCAGCTTTCCCCGAGCTTTCTCCAATTGAGGCGTCCTTTCCGTCTTTTCGGGTCCCCTCCAGTTTGGCTGACTCTCGATCCCTGGCTGATCCCTCGTTTCGTTCCCCATTCCCATTCGTGCCCTGATTCCCTCCGTTCTGCTGGTCATCGATCCCTTCCTGAGTCGCCATTTCTTTACCTAGCCTGCACATGGAAAAAATTTTTTTTGCAAAAAGGCGGCCGATTGTTCATAACTGCCCTAGTCCCATCCCTAAAACCCGCCTATTCCCATATTTTTGCGTCTTACATTAATCAGTATGACTCTTCTGACTTTTCTCTCCCGGGGCGTCCTTCAGGTTTTCTTCTACCGGAGCCTTGCCGCCGCCGCTTTGGCATTTCATTACCGCCGCGCTTTGATTCTTAAGGCGGTACCTGAGCCCAGTGGCTTTCCTATCAGGGATGGCCTTTTCGGCTTATTGGCATCCAGGTGCCCCAGAATCTTTGGAGCGGGTGGTCTTCCTAGTTCCTCCTTGCCGCATCATTGGGTCGGTCGAAGCTCCAACCACTGCCTCTCTTTTGCTGATGGCTGCCTACTTATCTTAGTAACCATTCTTTATTTCCCTACTTCTCCTTGACACGTTTTTCTCATGCTGGTCCCTCAGGTTTGCCCTGCTCATCCGGTTCCTCGAACAAGTCCGCCACCCCCACAAGGTAATTTTCCCTCATCTCTATCTCCCTGATAATTATTTGCTCATATTCTTCAAATGACAGGTGGGGCAATCCGAATATCAGAATCTCGAGTAATTCGAGTAGCTCCCAGGCCTGATTCCCCCAGAACGGCCCATGTCTGACCGACACATCGTAGAACATGCTCGTTGTTTGTGGTCGGAAGAGGTGGATCGAGACCAGGGTCGAGTCCACCAACTCCCTTGCCCTCTTGAGGCTGCCGAATACCAGGTCTACCATGAAGCAAGGTACTCGGCACCTCAGCCTGGTCATTGGGGCCTTAAACTCTCGCCAACCTCCTACCTCCACCCGAGTCCTTAACCCCACATTTCTTCTCCCTCGCACTTCCTGGCCTACCCGTTTTAGTACCCTAGTAGCCCTTTGGAAGATTGGCAACAACCCATGCCCTAGTGCCAATTCCGTCCCCAACATGTGTCATCCGATCTCTGGCAGGTATACAGTCCTCGTCACCCTAAGATCCGTATACAGGTCGTCTCCCAGTCCCCTGTTAATCCTCATACCATCCCACAAACATTCCATCATCATGAACGCCTGTCCTCTTCCCAGGGTCACTGCTCTCCATTCGACATCCAATCCTTGAATCGCGTAGCCTGCTGGGAGCGACACCTCCCATCCACCTCCGTTTTCCGTGGGTGGTCGCGGGTGCATGGGTCGCCACGGCATCCGGACGCGTCTCATTGCCATTTCCGACTTAGAAGTCCCCTGCACAGTTTTAAACAGCACGCAAATTTACTTATTCCCCTTGGTCTTCAATTTTTTGCCCGGACAACTCCCCGATTCCTAGCCTGACACTTTTTTTCCCCTTCTATTTCTTTCCCCTCTCCTTGGCCCTATTACCGACTTGTCCCCTCCTCCGTCTGCTCATATAATCGGTACAGATCATTTACATACGCCATTTCTTGGTTTATCTCCCGTCGGACGACGCCCCACAGGACCTCACTTCCAATGACCGGAACCCTCGGCCTAGTACTAAACACAACACGCAGGATACGCAGCACCTTGTACTTCTGCTCTCCGCTGAACGGCCCCATTTCTAAGAAGGCTCGGTAGTATTCTCGATGTACCAACCTCTTCATATGTCAGGCTTGCGAGATCAGCTACTGCTTATCTAACAAGTTCCAAACCGCCCAGTTTTCCCAGCAAGAAGGGTGGCAGCCTCATTCGTACACTTTCACTAGGCAATTCAAAACTCCCAACCATGGCTACCCTAAGGTCCGCTGTTACATCGTCAACCCCCGGATCTGCAAACTCAAATCCCGCTTGCCATACTAACTGCCATGCCCCTGCAAACATGCTCAACGGGTTTTCTCCTGATGTCAGCCGAACTCCGAACTCCCTCCATCCGTTTTCTGACACATACAACCGCCCTTCTGCGCGCACGTGCCCCTGTGGGTCTGGGTTCCATTCCCCATTCTCGGCCGCACGCCACTCAACTTTCATCACCAAGTAAACCATATTTTCCGCAAGCTCGATCCCGACCCAATCCGCCACCCGGTGCCAGCCTTCACTTGCCGCCGGCAAGCTAACCTCTACTCCAGCCGGTACTTCCCTAGGCGGTTCAATGCCCAAGGGGCGTTCCTCAAGAAACGTTCTTCTTCGCGCCATCGCACTCTCGCCCCTGTTCTCCTGGCCCGTGATCCGCACTGAACCTTACAATGGTCAGACATCCCATTCCCTTATCTTAGCAATTTTCCCCATATTCGCCTGGCCCCACGGCTTTCCGGCGCTTAATCGAACCACAGTACCTCGAACAGTTTGAACACATCATCCACATAACAAGGTGTTGCTGCTACCTCACGGCAGATTATGGCCTCCCTAGTTTCCGGGGCCACCTTCTGTCGGTCATTCCTTTCAATGTCCAAAATGATAAGGACCTCTCAGGCTCTGTCGCCGTGGAAGGGTCCGTATTTCAAGGATATCCTATAGAATTCCCCTGCCAGCCAAGTGCAATTCACATGTATTCGCTCCATCGTGCCAGCTACCTCTATTACATGATCAAAACCCCCAAACCAGTCTGCCACGAATTCGGGTACCCAGGTCTTGATTCGGGCGATGGGCGGTTTAAATTCCTTCCATCCTCCCATCACGACTCTACTGCTGACCGTATCCCACCCTTTATTAGCAAAACTTTCCCCCGCCTGTCGAGCCCTTGCCTGAGCGTCCCCTAAAAGCCACATCGGGTTCTGCCCTGCAGCGAGCGTCGTGCAAAACAGGTGCCAGCCCTGTTCCGTGAGAACAATCGTCCCAGCTGATTCCACCCTTCCTTCCGCAATCTCCTCCCATCCTTTCTCTTCCCTCAACGGATTCCAGATACGCTCTATCCAAAGGTACGATAGTTCCGGCACAATCTCATACCCCCGCCAATCACATGTGGTCCCTTTCCATTCAGTACTCGGCGGTATTGACATCTCTATTCCCCTTCCGGTTCGTCTTGGTTCCCATGTGCAGTCCCACAATTCGAGTTCCCGAGCCATCGTTCCCTACCTGCACATAGCCGACATCCCGTTTTCCCCAGGTAAGCCTCCTTCAGAAGTCCCAGTCCTCTATCTCGTCCCCGTCCTCCTCATCACTGAAATCCTCCTCCTCGTCTAGGAACATCTCTTTCACCCCTTCCAAGAAGGTTTCCCCTGCGTCCACGTTTCGGTAAACTATCTGCCAATGCACCAGGCTGGGAACAAAGATCTCGTCAACACTGAGGAGGTTTAACACCTCAACCAATTCTTCTGCCCAGTTTCCTTCGAACGGCCCTGCTTCCACCGACAATTTAAAGAAGTCCTGCCTAGCACCTTGGTACAACCTCAGGTGCGTCGTTGACCGGCATATCCGCTCCAATCTACTCGTGGTCCCAAAGACTGCATCCACCAGAAACGGGGGTAGCACGCATCTCATTGTCCTAAGGGGGCGTCTCATATTTTTCCGGTCCCCGAGTTCCACTCGCACCTCCATCCTCTCCATCTCCATTTCTGCTCGCTGACATGCAGCCCACACCACTTCCCGTTCCGCTTGCCTAAACAGCTGATCCGGTGTCGTGCCCAATACTAGTCCCACTACCATTGCGTTTTCCATTTCTTGAGACAGGTAGATCCACCCTCGACCCTCCACCGTTCCCCTGAATTCTAGGTCCATCAAGCTGGGTGAGAGTCTTGTCAGGCTGACCTTGGTCCAAATTGTCTCTATCCAGAGGAACGCGTCCTTTTTCTCCAGCATCACGATTTCATAGGCTGGTTATAGGTCGTTCCACGTCCCTTCTTCCGGGAGAACAACAGATACCCCATCCCTTACCTCTATAGGCATTTCCGGACCACTAGAGTAGACAGGAGGCGACAACCATCGCGCCATCTTGTTTTCCCGGCGCTTACCCTGTTTTCCACATGAGAGCATCACACGGCCCCCTCATGGTCAGATGGCCAAGTGCAATTGTCCCACCGTATCACCAGTGACCCGCATTCCTTCTTCTTGGTTCCATCTTCTTCCGACTTCTATCCAGCCTCTTCCTCATGTTCTCTCACTCGTGCTGACTTAGGCGGAGGTTGAGAATAGACTAGGGACCCGGTCCCCATCCAACATTCATCAGGCAAACTTTACAGAGGGAGGCACAAAAGGCAAAACTCAGGCAAACGTCGTACACAGGTCGGTCATCTCCTCACCGACCATTTCCCCGGAAATGGTCTCTCCACTGTTACTATCGGCAAGGCTTTACCCCATACCTCAAGTACAGCTCAACCGTCGCGAGCGCGGTACCCAGGTCTTGGCAAGGCATTCGCCCTTTCCTCCTTACCCAGAATACCCCATCCCGACTTGCCGCTCGTGTACCGACCGTTAATCTCGGGAATCACCCCGCACATCTCGGTAGGGCCATTAGAGCCAGCCGTCCAGGCATTCACTTCCATCGGTCCGATAAGGAACAACTTTTTCCAAGCCATGCTACAAGAAGCTTTTAATCGCCCCCGAGACTCCTTCCTTGCCCCATATGCAGTGGTCCCCCAGCCGTCTGCCAACAAGCAGCCGCCCCCCTGAAGAGGTTTCACACCCCGCCAGGACAAGGTCATCGAGCCATGCTCGGTCGGCTCGGGTGAGAATGCTACTAATCGGCCGACGGGACCAACCTTTGCCTGACAGTCCGGTGGCCCGACCCCCACACACGGAACCCGGTGAACTTCAAAGAGGACGACCAGTTCGCATCCCGCACCGGCCGGCGCAAACCAATCCTTTCCTTCCGAATGGCAGGACGCTCGAAATCCCAATCATGCAATCACAAGTCCCAAATGAGATACACATAACACAAGTGCCTTTCCCCCTGGTGTTCCTAGGGCTTCCTACCCATTGCTCACAGGTTTTCACTCAGGACAGTGTGTGCCACTCACCCCTAAATTCCATACATATGCCTGGTTCTTTTTCGTGAGCATCTTTAAAGGTGAGCTAGTTTTCTTGGAGTCAAGCAACTCCCTTTTTTCCCTTATCTTTGCTTGTGTGTCTATTTATAGGGCAGGATTGTTCCTTATCGATTACCGTTTGTGTTCATATGAGGTTCCTTCAAGCATTTAAGTGTGGTGCACGGAGCCCGCTAGGCTCCGAAGAGGAGAGAAGGCACCCAGGTCGGTCGGATCGCTCCGCCGCGGGATTTTCATTGGCACCCGGACTAGCCCGGAATCCCAACCGCCTGCCGGGTAACCGAGCCCTTCTTTCGCACGAAGAGGAAGGGTCGACTTGCGGCTTGCCCAAGGCTTCCCTGGCCTGACAAACATCAGTCCAAGGGAAGGAGGACTAGAGTCATCTCCAACGGAGATGGCTGAGCAAGAGTGCAAGCATGCATGTTCTTCCTCCAGGCCTGGCCTTGCCATGCGCCCAACCACCCTCAAATCTGATTCTCTCAAAGGATAGAGCATACACAAGTCCATATTCCTTATCTTTATGTTTGTGTTCTCGGTCATGCGTCGGGCGCCCCCCTCGAGACCGTATGGGTCAGTTTAACCCAATACCCGACACCTCCACCATTTTTGTAGGGGCCGTACCCTGAAGAACTTTCGAGCCTCGGTCGACCCCACTGCGGGTCCCACTTGGCTCGGCCCGCCCACGCTCACGCTCAGGGCGCGGGTCGTTTGTCCTAGGGGCATCCCCACCTAGTGCTTTGAGATGGATGGGAATGGGTCTTTTGCGAGAGGGTTGTACATTGGGGGATGTAGCTCCGCTCTCGCGTCAAGATGGTAGCTCTTTGGGCACTCGTGGCGTTTTCTCGATTCGGTTAAGTCTGACCAGGCAATTGCTCCTTCCAATACGCAAGCAGTCCAGGGG